AAACAATAAAAAATAAGCCTTTACGTGGGCCGACGATTTAACTAAGGGATTGAGTAAAGAAAATCTCACAAAGGTCCTTTAGCACTTCAACTCCAAATTTAAAGCTTAGCTTAGCAAATTTTGAGAATCTTTAGCTTTTTACTTTCTTTGCTTGCTTGAATTGAATGCTCAATGGCTCCTTTGCTTGCTTCCTCTCCAACAATGCACCTAGTTAAGTAAGAACAACACAATAAGTAACCAAAAAGAAAAATAAAAATAAAGTAAAGACACGATCAAAAAAGTACTAATCCTAATCAATTCCACAAATTCGACGTTGCCTAATCTAATCAATCAATCCCCGACAACAGCGCCAAAATTTAACGGGGGGGATGTGGCCGTTCCTTTACGCCAAAATTAATGTAGTGAATGCGCAGTTCAAGAAAAGCCTTTTAGGTCAAGTTTAAATTTATAAAAACTACTACCAACACTACTACTAACGTAGCAAGAGTGAGTAGGGATCGTCCCAAGGGATTGTGGGGATTGAGCAATGTCGTAGAATCATTATTAGGGCTAGTAGGTCGAGTGATGAAATAATTTGTTGGTTGGTTGATTGAAGAACAACTAAATTAGACTAAGTGATAACAAAAGAATACAATTAAGAGTAAGTAAGAGAGAGAGATCTTGGGGTTTAGAGATCACCACCAAGTAAAGCATTTCTATATCTTTGACAAGTGATTCATGAGGGCAAATGGTGTGTTGCTTTATTGGTGTGTGTGTGTGTGTGTTTGGTTGATTCAACAAGCAAGGATGACTAGTTAAGCATATATTGTCTAAACATCATGTGAAAGGCACAATATATCTAAGTAATGAAGCATCTATAGTCTAAACAACATGTGAAGGCACAATAGATCAAAACAAGTCATTAATCCTTTCATTAAGCTCACAATCCAAATATAACACAAGGATAGAGACATATGCTACTCGCATTCAAAAGCTTGGATCATCAAACAACAAGCATAGATTGTCCTCCCATTAAACACTACACTACAACTACTCTACATCTACATTACTAGTATGAAAATAAACTAGGGGAGAGGCACAATCCATCAAGGAATAAGTATGAACTATCAAGAGAATCACAAGAGCATTCCTTTAAGCAAAGCACTATGTTTTGATAATCTCCAAATCTATAGCATCAATACACATAGATATGCATCAATTACACAAAATCTAGAGATAAGCACATGAACATCTATTCTAGCATACATAGGCATATGGATAGAATGAAATGATCAATTGGAAGCATTAAACTATATAAATCATTGAATAAACAAGATCTAAGTATATCAAAGAGTCAAAACATTAATTATAACACTAATTCCTCAATAATACACAAGATTAAAATATAGAAAGCATACTTGGGGCTAACTTTAGCCCCAAGAGGATGTCTAGCCACTCATGGTGATGATGCTCCAACCCTCGAGGGCTAATTCCATGGTTGAAATCTACTACTTGTTGATGAAGAACTCTAATGGTGTCTCTAGCCTCCTCTCCTCTCAACTTCCTCTCCAAGAGATGGTATGGAAATAAAATTGGCTACTTTTTGTAAAAAGCAATCCTTATCCTTATATAGGTAGGTCAAAATGACACCCAAAATGAGCTGGGGTCGTGCACACAATATTCCCTAATGATTGGATAAAGGACAACTTTCAATGAGATGGAAATTTAACTTTTTCGCACTTGAGGAAGTTCGATCGATCGAACCTTGGTCTTGGATCGATCAAACTGGCTAAGATCTATCGAACTTAGGCTGGATCGATCCAAATGGCTGAGCTTTTTGGAAAAGAGACAAATCCGAGATATTTTGGGAGATATTTATGGGAAAAGGACAAAAGTGGTTAGTGGGTAGTACAGCTGTGGATCGGATCAATCATTTGAATAAGGACAAAAGTATTCGATCGATCGAAGGATGGTGTTGGATCGATCAAACTTTGGACTTCATGCTTTGGGTCAAGGTTTGGATCTATCTTGAAGTGTTGAGATCGATCATTGTTCGATCGATCGAACCTTGAACTTGGATCGATCGAACTTTGCTGCTTTCCACATTTGGCTTCATTTGCTTCCTTCTTTCTCCACTTTGCTCCTTTCTTTGTTTAATCCCAGAACTGCTTCAATTAAGCTCTTATTTGGCTGAGTAAGTTTATTTTCGGGATAAGTGCCTAAAAATGGAAATAATACGAAATCAATCTAAAACGGTAAAGTAAGATAGATAAAGGTACTAGAATGCCTAAACTTAAGGGGTTTAAATACGCACGCTCATCAAATTATCAATTAGAAATTACCAATTAAAATAAATCATATTATACTCTTAAAAGTTACCAATTAAAATAAATCTTATTATACTCGGAATTTTTCATGGCTATAACAACTAAAACAAGTTACCAATTAAAATAAAATATGAAGTTACCAATTAAAATAAAATATGAAGTTACCAATTAAAATAAATCATATTATATTAGAAAATTTTCAAGACTAAAATATCTAAAACAAGTTACCAATTGAAATAAAATAGAAAGTTCTTAATTAAAATAAAATAGGAAGTTCTTAATAATTATATATAGAAATGACAATACATGTATCGTGGTTAGAAAATAATACATGTTCAGTAAAAATTCTTCTAATAATTTTAATTTTAGTATGAAGAAATATAATTAGAAAATAATACCATAGGTAGTTTAGGAATTCTTAGATTTTGAAAGAAGCAATAGATAACTTGGGAATTCTTAGAATTGTAGTTTCGAATTCTTTTGCGATTATAGTTTTTGCTTTCTTATGATTTATATATCTTTGATTCTTTTTAATACTATAGAAGATGTGAATATAGTTTATATTGACTAAATAGCAAAAATATGATTATATATTTTTATTTATTGATGTTGATTTCTTTATAATTTTGAAGTATATAATTTAATAAACATGATTTTCCAATTTTTCAGGTATATATTATATATGCTGCTAGCATAAACCTGATTTTCTCAATTTTTATTTGTTGATGTTGATTTCTTTAAAAGCATAAGGGGCTACAATTAATTTTTTTTTTAAACCGGTAAGAGGGGGAGATTTTGTTGGTGTAATTTTGAAGTATATAATTAAATAAATCTGATTTTCCAATTTTTCAGTTATATATTATATATGCTGGCTAGTATAGACCTGATTTTAAATTTTGCAGGTATGAAATATACACGGAGGAGAATGATGGTTATTGCAGGTGCAGCAGCGACTGTTTGATAGCCTTTGTTTGGATTGCAACGTTGGGCGGCTTTGGGTGCTTCTTCATATTAGCAATGGTGGCTTTTGCGATTGGTTAGAAGTACTAATCCAAGGAAATTGAATCATAAATCCAAAGTGCAATTGAGATTCTTGAGGGATTGTAAAAGTACTCAACCATTTAGGATTTATTATAAATAGAGGTTAAGACCTCGAACAAAAGATATACAAGGGCATTATTAATCTTAGCTTTGAATTATTAGTTATTTTTCTTTGTTAATTTAATACGTTGACTTTTTTAAGTTAATCGAATTTTCTGCACCTACACCCACCGCAGTAGTTATTTGAATAAAAGTAACACCTTTTAAGCATCTATTAATAACTTATTTTATTATTTGATAAATTATTTTAGTATTTTATTTATAAATATTGTGAAAGCTGTTTCATTGGACCGCATTTTTTTTTTTTTTTCTTATACTGTATACCTTACTTTCAAATATTGTCCACTATACTATGCTGCTATTGAATTTTATTATACCTTATTTTATTATTTGGTAAATTATTTTATTATTTTATTTATAAATATTGTGAAAGCTGTTTCATTGGACCCCATTTTCTATTTTTATTTTTATTTTTTCTTATACTGTATACCTTACTTGCAAATATTTTCTTATACTTTATTTTATTATTTGGTAAATTATTATTAGGTAAGTTCTTTTATCATTTTATCTATAAATGATTTGAAAATTTTTTATTAAATTGAATTAAACAATTACTTATTTAATTTTAATTGGTAATTTATTTGATGATTTGAAACATCTTAATTGAATTTTAATTACACAATTACCTGATTTGTTTTAATTGGTAACTTATTTTGTTATTGGTAAATTATTTTATCATTTTATCTATAAATGATTTGATTGAATTTCAATTAAACAATTGACTATTTAATATTAATTGGTAATTTATTTAATGAATTGAAACATCTCAATTAAACAATTACCAAATGTATTATAATTGATAACTTATTTTATTATTTGGTAAATTATTTTATTTATAAATATTGTGAAAGCTGTTTCATTGGACCCAATTTTTTTTTTTTTTATTATTATTTTTTTATACTCTATACCTTACTTGCAAATATTGTCCACTGGTAAAATCTTGTTTATAAGAAAAAATCATTCAGCCTTTTCTCTTTCTTCAATCATTTTAATGTTATTAAGATATAAAAACTAAACATATTGAAGATATAAAACTAAATATATTTAAGATATTTAAATTTTAAAAAAAAAAACATATAAAACTAAAAGAGGTGGGAAAATACGTGGACAATATTGTAATGAGAATTCAACTTTGGGCTTATGTCTTTCAAAAGAAATACGAGAACTTTGTGTTTGTTTGTTCGTTTTATTTTATTTAATATAGCCCAGCCCAGCCCAACTCATCTCACATATTATTTTATCCAATCCCACAAGCCCTTGTGTAGTGCAAAAGTCCAAGAAATTGATGCAAAATTCTTACGAAATCGAATCAGGATTCGAGTATTCCCTTTTCTGTCTCTCTATCCTCTTTTCTATCTTTTATAATTTCCCATATTTGAAATGAAGATCACTAATCACGCACAAAAACACACCATACATAATAATATTTGTTGTCATTGATCCCACTACAAATACTTCGAACTTCTGCTGTGTGGTTGATCTACTAGTTTAGGTCATTGGAGACATTGCCTAGTTGATAATAGATCCAGCTCGTCAATTGTGATATCTAGCATATTATGTATAGAGAGTTCAAAATAAATAAATAAATAAAATACAATCATCCCATAAAATTAGTAACATAAACTTATTATACTAGTTGGCTTGCCTCTTGGTTGTGTCTGCCCTTGTGATCTATGGCAAGGCAAGGAGCAGAAATACCCATGGATTTGATCCAGAAAATAGAAAAAACCCAAGCTATTGTAAGCGCCATCAACAGCCAAAAAAAAAAGAGATAAATTGTAAAAAAGAGATCTCGATTGGGAAAGGAATTGGTGTGATGGTTTATGTCACTAATATTTTGTATGAGTCCTTGCACCAAACCAATCGCTAGAGCCACCATCGCTAATATTAAGAAGCACCCAGAGCCGCCCAACGTTGCAATCCAAACAAAGGCTATCAAACAGTCGGAGTCGCAGCTGCACCTGCAATAACCACCATTCTCCTCCTTGTATATTTCATTCCTGCAAAATTTAAAATCAGATTTATGCTAGCAGCATCTATAATATATACCTGAAAATTTGGAAAATCAGATTTATTTAATTATATACTTCAAAATTACACTAACAAAATCTCCCCTCTAAAAAAAATTAAATGCCATATGCTTTTTTATATAGAGGGAGCTTATATGGAGAGCACAGGATAATTCCACAATTCAACTAGTAGGTGGGGCCGCTAATTTTTGTATATATATTATTTTATTATTATTATTGTTTTGAGTAAGGTTTAGGGTTAATTACTTTTGTTTATAAGAGGTTCATTATGTTTTCTTTCTAACTATTTAAAATTTTGATTACTCAAAAAAGCTACTAATCAATTACTTGAAAAAGTGAGTTAAAGTGAGTTTATTTTGATAATTTTTTTAATTAAGATTATAAAATAATCTTTCATCACGCTGTGTGCTTTCTCCAAAACTACTTTTAAAAGTTCCCACAAAAATCGTAATCATATTTTTGCTATTTAGTCAATATAAACTATATTCACATCTTATACAGTATTAAAAAGAATCAAAGATATATATATTATAAGAAAGCAAAAACTATAATCGCAAAAGAATTCGAAACTACAATTCTAAGAATTCCCAAGTTATCTATTGCTTCTTTCAAAATCTAAGAAAATTCCTGAACTATCTATTGTATTATTTTCTAATTATATTACTTAATACTAAAATTAAAATTATTAAAAGAATTTTTACCGAACATGTATTATTTTCTAACTATGATACATGTATTATCATTTCTATATATAATTATTAAATGATTACTTAATTTATTTTAATTAGTAACTTCCTTATTTGGGAAAAATTGAGTATAATAAGATTTATGTGTGTAAATTTTAGGAATATGATTTTGAAGAAGTGACTATATAAATGGAAACAAGTTTGAAAAAGCCAGTCAATTACAAATCTATAAAGCAATTTTTTTTCCAATCTCTACCAAAAATTATCGCCAAAGCCAGAGATTGAAGGTTACTCTTTCCTATCAACAAAGAGTGATTTAGGTGTGTAGGTCTTTCAAAGTTAAACACTCAAAACACTCAAATACACAATTTGACGAAAGGATGGAACTATTGAAAAACATTTATCCCTTTGAAACGGGGAAGTTGTTTCAAAATTTGTAATAAAAACTCAATCTCCTTATTATGATCCAATCTTTTTGTTCTCGACTTAGGCTCTGATACCGGACAAGGGCAGTCTTGAATAATAAGAATTTATTGGCTAAAAATTTTAATAAATAGAATTGGGGTTCAAGATGCCTTGGTAGAAAGAAACAATTTGAAAATAACAAAAACTTTCTTAAAAATAAATCTATTACTTCCCAAAAAACACATGAACATAAACAATGCTGAATTACTTGCCAGGGGCGATGATCGGCCATGGCGGGAACAATCTCTGTGACGGGCACAGAAAAAACACCATTCAAATTGGCGGGCATAATCTCTGGTGGAAGATTTAGGTAGGATCTGAGGAATTCGATCCCATCGTTGGTGAGGTACCAGTAGTAGTGCATCAAATCCCAGGTCTCCCTAACATATTCCTTCGACTTGAAGCCCTGCATCAACTGAATCACCTGCAGATTAGGCACATCGATCTTGGGGTGCTTCGAAAGATTGTAATCCTTTTTCGCGGAGCAATGACCCTCTGTAAATTCACCACCACAAATCCAACATCAGACTCAAATCTATATATATAGAACTCGAAAAAAAAAAAAAAAAAAAAAAAAAAAAAAAAAAAAAAAAAACCTTGGAAGAGGTATTTGGAGATCTCTATCCGGTTCTTCTCTGGAATTATCTGATGAGGAAATTTCATTTCAGATAATCGTTATTTGCAACAGAAATATAAATATAAATGAATACATATATAGAGATAGAGGAAGAGAGAAATGTTTGGATAGACCATGGCTGGCTGTGAGATGGTGAGGGAAGGAAGGGAGAAAGATGACTCTTTTGGTTGTGGCGGCCGCTTATGTTACTCCTCAAGGGGTTAAACGAGAGAATATTGGTACCCCCAAGTACCCCGTCAGCATGTCCACCTGTTATCCCAATCCAAAAAAACTAACATGTTGCTAACTTTTCACATCAGCTTCATTACAGCTAAGCCACTAACCGACGTCCTCAACTTCGTTGAAAAAAAAAATTCCCACTTTCTTTCTCTCTCCTCATTGCCCTAACGAAGTCGGAGGCATATGCGCGCCATCGCCGCCCACTCCGGCGTGAAGTGGTGTTCAACTACTGTTTCAGTGTGACCATTTGAAGCAGAAGCAGAGCAATGGAGCGGAGTGTATCCATTACATTCTGCGATTTCAGTGTCTCCTCCGATTGAAACTAAAAATCAAAGCAATTCGATATTGCCATGAATTGCTGCGATGTGAAGTGGTGGTCGACCATTTAAATCGATTGAATTCACGTCGATTTCTTTGAACCCTAGACACAAAACCTTCATTAAATCCAATCTCTCCATCTCTGCTGCTTCGTGCAAGAATCGATCAATTGGGTGTTGAATTGTGCAACTAGACTCGATCAGGACCCGAACCACATCGACGTCGCCGGATCGGACTGCGAGAGACATCACCGGCCTTTCATCGGAGTCTCTGCCGTTCGGATCTGCTCCTGTGTCGATTAAAGCCGAGACGAGTGGAGAGTTTGTATTCGCGATGGCCAATTTTAGTAGCGAATTGAGCTGAAACTCATTGCAATACCCAGTCGCTTTGGAGAACAGGAAAGTGGTTTCTAGGGTTTTGGGGGAAGGAGAGAGGAGGGATTCGACGACGTGAGGGCCGACGAGGGAGATGGGGATAGCGGCATCCTTAAAGACGTGTGGGCCAGGCTTGGTGAACGAAGTTGACGACATCCGTTGGTGGCTCAGCTGTAATGAAGCTGATGCGGATAGTCACGGCCCGTTTGGGAATTGTTACGTAGTGCAAGTATAATGCTCTAACCTAAAATAGAAGGTGCAATGTTCTGAAATGAGAATAAAATATGTTTGGAACGAAAATCTAGAGTGACAATTTTAAAATAAAAATTATTATTATTATTTTTTTATGATTAAATTAAATTAATTACAGAGCTTGATTTGTTGATTTAGAAAAAAAATTAAAACAAAACCCATACACATAAGTTAGCAGTTGGAGAGAGAGAGAATAGAGATGGAGGCATTTAGGAGGCTGAAATGATTTGCCCAAAAAAAATTAAAACAAAACCCATACATTTGCAGTTGTAGAGAGAGAGAGAGAGCGAGAATAGAGATGGAGGCGTTTGGGAGGTTGAAATGAATGATGGGATGGATGAATGAGATTAGGGCCTGTTTAGCTACAGTAAATATTGGGTTAGAACAACATAGAACACCAAAATCTTGTTCCAGCTTTTGGGCCAAATAGTGCATTAGTTTTGAAAGTGTTCCGTTACTGTTGAGAACAAAACAATGCGGGCCAAACATGTTTTGGGCTGAAATAATGCTACTGTAGCACTTTTGGAAAAACACAGAACATTACATGGCAAACACCAAACGGGCCCTTAACAACATGTCACGTTTTTATTGGATTGAGATAGCAGGTGGACGGTACCCAATATTCTCTCGCGTTAAACATATTCAGTAGGTGTTTGGAATTGCTTCTCTATTACTTAAAAGCATTTCTATAGATGCAAGGTGCAATGTGTTTAGTGAAAAAATATATATATAACAGAGCTTAGGTCTAAAAAATGTGTTTAAGTAAAGTTAGGAATAGTAGCTTTTAAAATTGCGTTAAGGTAGAAGTCCATGTTTTTAGATAACTAATTTTCTTTTAGACAATTTAATCCCTTTATATTTTTTATAAGGCACCAATGGTCCACGATTAATTAGATAGGCTGTTGGCAAGAATGTATGTAGATGTTTTTGGCTCTCTTTGTCAATATTCGGTTCATCCATTATGCCACCCCGTTTTGCTGAGACAATGTTTGCTTTAGTTTTTCTTTCGTTTCCCTTCTTTGGAAGACTGCAATTAACACGGTAATATCCCTTCTTGCCACAATTCCAATATTCAACGTCACTAAGATTTGTGGAATTCCTAGAATTTTGAGACTGTACCCTTTCCATTCATTGACTTGGACCTGCCTCTGCTTCTATTACCATTTCCCTTCTTCTTATTTGAACCTCTGCTTTCAACATTCAATGCCGAACCACTGGTGGAATTCCCTATTGTTTGCCTTTTAATTTCTTCAGTCAGATTAATGCTCATAACTTCATCAAACTTCAACTTGGTCTTCCTTGCAGAACTAGTAATCACTATAACTGTACCACTCAACTCTCGGGTAACTAATCTAGAATTAGCAGTGCTCGGACCTCATCTTTGAAGTCGATATCAACAAATTCTAATTGCCCAACTATCTTGTTGAATGCATTTAGACGTTCGTTGAACTTACCACCTTTGACCATCTTCATGTTGAATAATTTCTTGATCAAGTACACATTGTTTGCTACAGATGGTTATTTATAAATACTAGAAAGGGCTGCCATGAGAGACTTCGTCGTCTTCTCGTTCTTGATATTAAAGGTGACTGATTTTTACAACATTAATCTAACAGTTGCAAGAGCCTTCCTATCAAGTAATTCTCATTATGCATCCTTTGTTTCCTCTAGCTTTTCTCCCAAAAGATGATATAGATTTTTCTAAAACAAGAGGTCTCCAATTTGCATCTTCCAGAAACAAAGTTTATGCCATCGAACTTCTCGATCATGGATGTGGATGTCCTATCTTCTGATGCCATTACTCCCACTCGAACGGACAGATCTGATTGAAAGACTTTCAAAATTTCGCCAAACACCTTTTGTGCCCAAGGTTCTCAACCTGGCTCTGATACTAGTTGTTGGAGTTGCTGCACAATCAATCGAATGCTTTGATACCAGTTATTGTGGCAGAAACGCAAAATAAATATCGATGTTCAAGGAATAAATAAGCAATCACGGAGAATAAAAAAATAATCACACACAAGAACACAATATATACATGGTTCACCCAAATCTTAGGGCTACGTCCATGGAGTGTACTGAACAAATTCCACTATGAAAAAGATGAAGAATTACAATGGAGAATTTTCTCTCAATCTCTCTTAATTGCTCTCTATTGTGTTGGCACAAATTAATCAATCATACAAAACGTATGATGATCCTCTCTTCTCTCTTCTTCTTACCCTAAAATCTGATTAGAGTTGATATATATAGTCCCAAACAATGGAACACAACTTGTCCTACAAGATATTTCCTTTTGTAGAGTCTAAAATCAATAAGGAAAATAAATCACATAGCTTCCCAAGGGAGTTGAACCGGTTCAGCAACACTTGAATTGATTCAACTTTGTTGCCCTACAAGTGTTACAACTCACTGCCTCACTTGAATTGGGGTCAAGTGCCTTTGAAATAGTTTAACTTTGTTACCCTAAAAGTGTAGCAACTCATTGCCTCACTTGAATTGGTTCAAGTACCCTTGAACTAGTTCAACTTTCTTGCCCAAAAGTGTTGCAACTCACTGCCTCACTTGAACTGGTTCAACTCAGGCAGTAGTTAAAGTCTAATTCATCACTCTAGTTGAACTAGTTCAAACATGCCAGTAGCTTAGACTCCATAAACCACAACATCCACATATGACAATAAAGTTGAACCGGTTCAAGTGGAGCTGAACCGGTTCAACTCTCCTTAGAAGTTAAGTGAATTGATTTCCTTATTGGTTTTGCACTTGGGAAAATGATGTAGATTTGGGAAAGAAGTTATACCTGTTATTTTAAAGTTGAATACAAATATGTAGGCATTACATATCTATATTCCAAAGGGATGTCAGGGGTTCAAGTCTTAGTGAAGGCAAGTGTGTGCAAGTATTATCAACACAAAGTCAAAAAGGGTAATAATGTCATTTTACAAACAAAATTGCTCTAACACAACTCAAAAGTGACACATTTATAATGTGAGTGATAGTAATTTTCAAAAGGGTATCTATCCAAACTTCAAGGGGGTATAAATGAAATTAACCCTACAATGTAATTTTTCAATTCAAGATTAAAGATTGAATGCAGATTTGAAGAAGTTCAAGTGTTCATGGTTTACTACACTTTGGGATGATGAGAACAATGCTTTATGAAGGTATGTTAGTGAGTGAGAACACTTAGGAAGTTTTAAAAGGTTGAAAGAAATATGAGTGAGTGAGAACACTTAAGAAGTTTTAAAAGGTTGAAGGAACAACAGGATTCACTTTTGTTCATTGGGAACTGGTAACACATTTCTTATACAAGTAGCCAAATTGCTGATTTAAAGGAATTTAACACTGCCAATTTTGAATCTGTAGCCAAAGTGCGTTGGAATTTTTTTTTGATCTTCTTGAATCGGTTCAAAAGTCTGAGTTAGTTTAGGCAACTTGGTTTTCCTATTTCGTTTTGATTCATTTTCGGTCCAGACTTTCTTCTAAATCCTATGCATGAATTCTACTTGTTTTACAAGTGTGCTTAGGTCTTCCAAACTTCTATATAATACAATTTTCATTCATTATTGAGGTATGGCTTTGAGGAATATCAATTTAATATTTTGAGAAAGCCTTAAGAGAGATATTATTCAGAAAATCAAATCTAATTATTCTGAATTTATTTTTGAGAGTACACACACACACACACATATATATATATATATGAGTGATTTAGTGGTGTTGTTCTCCATCTCATCGGATTTGGAGCTTAATTGAAAATTCAGAGATTCCGACAGAGCAGATCTACTTCTACATCGAATTCAGATATTGAAGAACAGAAGTAAAAACAATCACACTTTGAAAGGTTCAAAGCATTCGAGGAGTGTTGTTTAATCTATCTGCAACACTTCTACAAAGATCAAGAGTATGCCTGAGGTCAAGTGCTATTGGACGGGATGTCGCAAAGCTAGAGGATTATCAGCAATTGGTGTTTGGTGGAACGATAGGGTATGAGGTTGAGTCAAAGTTCAGTGTACTTTGTTTCATACATAGTGGATCGATTTACTTTGGACTACACAGTCCACGGGTTTTTTCCATGCAAACAGTTGGTCTATTTTACCAAATGGGGTTTCCTTACTAAAAATCCTAGTGCAATCTCTCAACCCTACGTGCTTTACTTTACAGTATTTATCTTTGTAATTGTGAATGTTTAAATTAATCATATTATTTTGATAATTTAATCAATCACAAATTTGACAAGTTGACCTATTAATTTAATTTAAATCATTAAAGGAGTTAATCACAATATAAATAAACTAACAGTTTCGTATCTCGCATAACTTTTCACAATTCAATCCCTGAGAGCCTTCCAAAATATATGCAGAGTTGTGTGAAGGATTTCATATTGTTGTAGTAGTGTATAGAATTGTAGGCATCTTAAAATAGAATTCTATAAAGTTAATCTCATCTAACATTAGAATACATCCGAGTCCTACATTCAAGAGGATGGCCTATATTATATATTAGAGAGAGGTCTCATGTGTGACCCAATGAGTCCTAGAATGTGAGTTGATGCAGCACTAGTATGTCACATCATTTTCCTTGGTCTCACACAAAAAATGATCAAAGAAAAGGTAACAAATAGAGAAAGATTATAATATATACAAGTTCTTCTTGATAATCGTTCCCCTTTTTAAAAAATGATCCACTTACTTCTAGATTCCCCAGAATCCCCGTTTGAAATGTTTGATTCATGTCAAACACAAATAGATTCGAACATATTCTTACGTATAGCCTAGATTAGGAAAGAACAATTGTACAAATACAATTTCTAATACCATGAATGGTAAAAATTAATTTTATAGAAAAGATCAAATCTAATACAAATTATATAAAGCAAACATTTAAATTATATAAAGCAAAAA